TGGATGATCCAAAATCAATGAATGTTAGCTCATTGGATCCGTCAAGTCGCAAGGAATCGAATGGTAGTTGTTTCATATGAATCGGTGCGATATTGACCGAGATCATACATCTTTTGTTTTTTTGTTTTTTTATATGAAAAATCATGTGATATGGCGTCATTTCGACTATTTCGCGACTTTAGCCTCCAATGGTCGAAATGATTTCGACCATTTCGATCATTTCGGATATCCGAAATGATCCATTTCAACTTCATGTATAGTCACATAGTTAGACACATAGTGACTTTTAAAGCAAAATGTGCTCATAAAGAGATATTACTATAATTGCGAGTAAAATCAAAGCTATTAAACTGGTTTGCAATATCAGGAAAATAATAATTTTATTGCTAAGTATTTGACATAATATTTAATAAATCTATTATATTATTATTTTATAGAATATCTATAATTGCTATAGTGATGTTGATTTCTGATATTTAATAATACAATTATTATTAAAATAAATATTTTATAATAAAATTTTTTGATTACTTTTAAAAATATTTTGATTTATAAAGTAATTTTATAAAAATATATGTATAGCAATAATTTTATATATGTTTTTTATTTATTAAATAAATATATTTTTTTTATTAAATAATAATTATTTTAATAAAATAATATTTAATATTTTTTATTAAATAGGAGCTTTACAATAGAAAGGAAGAAAACTCTAAAAAAATTAAATTTTACTTTATAAGTTAATTATGATTTTTTTAGTAAAATAAGTTAGATTTAACATTAACTCAAAAAAAAAATTTTTTCTTTCTATTGCAAAACCTTCATATAATTTATAAAAATCTTTAAATTTTAAATATATTATTTAAAATTTAAAAGTTTATAAATATAAAGATTTAATAAAATAATATATAAATTTTTTTGCTAAATAATAAATATTTTTAATATATAAATATATAAAACTTTTATAAAAAAAAGCTGATATTAATTTTATATTATGACAAATATAATTTTTAGGCCTAAAATATATAGAATTATTGTTAAAAAAATATGTTTTAAAAATTTTTTAACTGAAATTAAAATTTCATTATATTTTAATTTAATATTATTAAAAGTTAATGTAACATAAATCAAAATTTTGTTAAAAATGTCTCAGAACATGATTTTTCTAACAATCTTTTATATTTAAATTTAATTCTATCTTATATGATATTTTAAAAATCATTTATAAGTATTATGAATAATTATAAATCAATATTACTATAATTAATAAAAAAAAAAACTGATTTTATCATAAAATATTAATAGATAATTCTTTTAAACTTTAAATAATTAAATAAGATATTTAAATATAAAATTTTTATTTAATAATTCAAAATAATTTCAAAAATTACAATATATTAATTATTTTTTCAGCTAAAAATAACATTAAATTTATAAATTTCATTATAACTTTAATAAGGTAGGTTGAGAAATTTTATTTATTGATTATCAATGATAACAATATGTATTTAAAGATAGATCTGCTAATATTTTTTTCAATCAAATTGAATTGTGCATATAAATATGCAATTCAACAATATCTTCCTTATTCATACCTAGCATGTTCTCTAAAGAAAGCACTCATATTTTCGTACACCAAAAAAGTAGTGCATGTTCCAGGCAATACACGTATTACATTGGGTACTAACCCTTTATAAAATCCCAGGATACTTTCGGCCCTTTAATGATAAAATATAAAATATCAAAGAAAATAGTGAACCTTTAAAAGATGAGTTCATAAATAAATAAAAAACAGATTTTGATAACTTACTTGTATACTTTTTTTATCGTATCTATAACACCATCGTATTTAATTTCGAATCTTTGATTTTGTAATCTTGTCCGAACAACTTGATATGGATAAGTTATTACTGTTGCAAATGTTTTTGATGAAGCTGCTATTAAAAGGTATTCCAAGTTATCCTAATTATTGTTCCCATCAAAAATTTCAAAGTTAATTCAATTGATAGATCATATCGAACACTATCTTAAATACACACCAATCTATCCCGATCTTTCCCTGGATTAATTTTAGTTCTCCACCTTTTTAATTCCTCATAAGCCATAAATTGTAATGCACCATGAGATACACCAAATAATGCAGGTATCATTCCTTTATACAATCCTCTAATTCCTTCATATTTAGTTATCTGATACAATCCATCTAAATAATAGCAAATAACCATAGCTTAATAAAAAAAATGATAGAAAACAATTTCAAAATAGACTTTACCAACCAAATAATCCTTTGTATGCTTTTGGATCTGTACGATTGGACGTACACATTCTCGTTTTTACTACCCAGAACGGATTTGTAATAATTGCAGTTATTGCGCCTATATATAAATCAAATATAAGTAAATTTACTCATAAAGAAATTTAAAAAATGATGAAATTGTACCTGCTTGGGCTGATGCGGTTAAATGTTGTATAGAAGAAAGTTTTGATATCTTATCTCCATCTGCCATCCTTCTTTTAACCAAGTCATATCTAACAAAAAATTAAATTAAAATAAAAAAAAAAATAAGAAAATTTTCAATCAATATAAACTCAAAAATAGATTACATATTACATTACAATAAAAAGGTTTATTTTTTTTTTTCAATTACAAATAAAAATAAAATCCCCAACTAGCAGTAGCACCAGCTAAATTGGCTGAAACGCCACGATATAAACCAATAAATTGGTGCTTTTTTACGATAGATTTCATTTCTATGAATGTAGCACCAAATCTACGTCTTCGTAACTGATCTTTTGTAGATTCATCGACTATAGTATAAGATTGGAACAAATCTGTTAATTATAAACTAACAAAAAAGAAATGATAAATGTGTTTAGACAGACATTATGAAATAGGAAACTTACCAAGTTAACCCACCTTGAAATCTTGTTTTTATCAAGTCCAATGGATGTAATAATATCGTGGTCACAGCTCCTGCTGTAATTCCTGCCATTGCATGGTCCTATTGCATCACAAAAAAAAATCAATTATTTTTTAATGAAATAAAATTGTTCAAAATAATGTGAAAGTCAAATTACGAAAGCCGTTGATCCAGAAAATGATTTTGGCATAACTGAAAAAAAAAAATATTTTTTTTTGATCTTTTATATCGAAAAATATTTGGCCTGATTTAGGCAAGATTTTCGATCTAATACAAGTGTTCTAAGAACGACTGCTACACTAGATAAGAAATTGTCTTGGGCCAAGTATACTTGCGTCATTTTCAGTTCATTTAGGTAACGTAGGATAGAGAACTGTAAGCGCTTCGCGACCTCGCTCAGCGAGAACATCCTTCTCCTTTTATTTATCTATTTGGTGGCTCGTTTAGATAGATCTAGCTTTATATAACCCTTTTTTTATCCTTATATTATTAGGTTACGGAAATTTTTTGCGGATTATTCCTATTTCAACAGGTCTTTTGAATTATATTCTAAATTAACAATTTTTTTAAAACAAACAATTTCTGAAATCATTGTTTATAAACTTAGAATCACAAATTATTTCACTAAGTATATTCTCATCAAATTATACCGTCAATAAAACGCGTGACATCATCAATACAAGAGTAATTACCTTTAAATCGTCTATGATATAATTTTATTTTAAAAAAAGTTTATTTGTACTATTCAAATTGAAAAGCTTTAATGTAAAGATATCAAGTCTCAATTAGAGGATGAAAAATTCTCAATAAGGATCTCTCGACGTTCTTTCTAATGAAATAATCTATTAGAATGTCAAATAATTTCCCATTACGTCAAGCAGAATTTAAAGAGAAGTTGCAAACTGTGGTAAATTCATAGGTAGCTAATCATTTGTTAAATTTCAACCTTCGGTTCCTAGATTGTCCAATTTGTTATTCTTTTTTGTAAGTCTTGGTAATAGACCAAACAATGTAGTACTTTTAAGAAAAAGTTTCATGCTTGCTTGTCTTTACAAGGTAGGTTATTATTTATTTAAAATTTTTGAGATGATTTAATAATGTTAAAATGGAATTGTTTTTTATAGATACTAAGGGAGATCGGGGTATTATGACGAATTAGGGTATTATAACGAATTGATTAAAAAATTAAAAAAAAATGTTTATCC